TTACCCCTCGGGGGGCTGTGGGAGTGCGTTGGGGTTACCCACACCTCACGGAACCCTCGTCGGACAGCGCAGGAGAGCTGCAAGCCTCAGAGCCACTCAGCAGAAAGCCAGTTCGGGAAGCCACGGGTCATCCGAGAAGCCAGCGGTCACCGCCTCACGTGCTGACGGCGTCTCTGACCCGAGAACAGACCCCACCGACTGGGGTGAGGCTCCCCGAGGGCAGCGGGCAGGAACGCCCGGCTGAGCGCCTGCCACGGGCCTGCCAAGGGCCTGAGCGCGCCGTCCGGGCGGTGCGAGGACGCTGCGGCCCCAGCACGCGGTCACCTTTGCACAGGTGGGTGCAGGGCGGGGGTGCGTGAGCTCGGGAGCGGGGCTCCCGCACGCCGCTCGCCCCTCTGGCTTCTCCCTGGCACGCAAGCTCGGCTCCAGACGACACAGGGCGGGCGGTGCCGCTGCATCGGGACAGGCTGCGCCGCGCCCCCGCGGTGAACCTCGGCCGCCGGGGTTCGCTGCACGGCTGAGGACTGCCGGGCCCCGACAAGCCCGTAACGCAAAGACCCCGCACAGCCGAGACGCTCCCTGAGGAATGGGGCAGGAGCAGGCAACGCCCGCCCGTGTGCAGGGACGGAGGAATGCTGCCAGGTCAAGGGCGAGGTCAAGGTCGGCGTCTGCACCCTGCGGGCGTGTTTGGGTTTTACCTCTCGTGCTTCTGGATGAGCGCGCTCAGCTGGGCGGCGGCGGCCTCCAGGAGGCCCTGCACGCGGGTGTCCGAGGACCGCAGGCTCTGCACCAGGTATTCCCTGTGGCCGAACCTCTTACTCAGGTGGAACCTCTTGCTCGCTTGCAAGAAGTCCATTAGCTCCTCCACATCCTCCTGTTTCAAAAACAGCCAAGGAAATGCACCAGACAGCGCTGAGAGAAAACCCGCTGTGGACGTTCACGAGAGCACGTTTCTCTTCCGGACAAAAGGCGCGGAGCAGAAGCGCCGCGATTCGCACCCTAAGCCTCCGGCCCCACGGGGTGAGCGGAAACCGCACACGCACGCTGCCCGAGGGCTCCGGGGCCGGGAGCCCTAGGTGGAGCCCACAGGCCGCCGCCCGGAGAGACGAGCCGCTCTGACTCAGCCGGTCTCTCAGCCCTCGGCCGCAGACTCAGCGCCCCCACCCCTCCCCCACAGCGCCGCAGTGCCGGGTCCTGGGTGCTGGGCCACGGGCTGGTCCCACAGCGCCCACGTTCGTGGAGAGCGCGGGGCCAGCGTGGGGCGTGGCAGTTAGCTCACAGGTGGGCCCGCAGGAGCCGCGCCCGGCAGGCTCGGGAAGCCCCGGGCAGGGGGCCCGCGGGCGGTACCTGAGTCCGGGCATACTCTTGCAGCAGCCCCTTGGCTGCCTCCGGCTGCAGCTCCCCTTTGGAGATGGCGCCTCTGATCTGGGTGAAAAACAGGCCGTGCAGCTCGTTCCTCTGGAACACAGCCAGCTGCCGGCGGGCCCTGGCCACGTCCTCCTCCTGCTGCAGGGCGAGGGACCGGTGCAGCTGCTCCCGCTCCAGGCTGTGCAGGGTCCGCAGGAGGCTGCTGCACTGGGCCGCGGACTGCGGGGAGAGAGGCTGTGAGGCGGCGCACGGCTGCCACGCGCACGGCTGCCACGCGCACGGCTGCCACGCGCACGGCTGCCACGCGCACGGCTGCCCACGCACACAGCTGCCAAGTGCACCACTGCGCACAGCTGCCCATGCACACAGCTGCCCACGCGCACAGCTGCCACGTGCACAGCTGCCCACGCACACAGCTGCCATGTGCACCACTGCGCACAGCTGCCCATGCACACAGCTGCCCACGCGCACAGCTGCCA